ACTGCAATAATATTAATTGAAAAAAACAACAAATTAGAGAATAAGGCAGAAAGAAAGAAGACACTCACAGCCTTGGCACGATGTTGCTGCCGGCATGCTGCACGAGCTCATAAAGGTCCACACAGCTGCGGCCCCCATCACACCACACCACACCACCGCTACAAGCAGCACGCACGCTGCACGCAGGCGTCTGTTGAGGCGTGTCACGACTCACAGCCTTGGCACGATGTTGCCGGCGTGCTGCACGAGCTCATAGAGGTCCACACAGCTGCGGCCGCGGATCTTGTTTGAGGTGTCTCTTGAGGCGCGTCAAGGCTCACAGTCGCAGGGAGGGGGCAGGACTCACAGCCTTGGCACAATGTTCCCAGCGTGCTGCACGAGCTCATAGAGGTCCACACAGCTGCGGCCGCGCATCTCACCACACACCACACCACCACTACGTGCGGCACGCACGCTGCACACAGGCGGCAGGCGCATCTTTAGGCGTCTAAGAGACTCACAGCCTTGGCACGATGTTGCCGGCGTGCTGCACGAGCTCATAGAGGTCCACACAGCTGCGGCCTCGCATCTTGTGCTCGTCCCAGAAGAACGCCTCCAGGTTCTGCAGCTCGCCACACACCACTATGTCTGCCACGTGGAAATGCGGGCATGGACGCATAGCATACAAGTTAGGTAGGCATGGTCAAGGGCCGACCGCAGCCCCTTGTGGTGACGGGCCGGCCATTTCCCGGAAAACGAAATGGTATCAACCATCTCGATTTTGAAGAAATTGGTACCAGAGAGGACGTGGTAGGAACGAATAAGGTACAAAATGATTCAGTAAATCAGTACTAAAGAAGTCGGTACTACTACCAAACACAGTACTGGGAAGATCACTCTTGAACGACCCAGCCACCACTGCACACGAATACGTACAGAGCTCGTAGTACTTTTGTGGTGCAAGCTTGGAGGTGCGCAGCTCAGAAAGCATCTGTGCCGAGTACTTGAGGGCCTCGCGTAGATTGCCCGAGTCCTGTGAGTAAGTGACGCAAGTGAAGGAACGCAGGGGAGGTGAGGACAGCATGGGATGGGAAGGAAGGCGACGGTTGGTAGTGATTGGATAGGGAGGGGAAAAGGAGCATCTGTGCTGAGTACTTGAGGGCCTGCATAGGTTGCCCGAGTCCTGACAGCCAACACGGGAGGTGGGAGCAGTAAGAGGGATGGGAAGGCAGGGGAGGCAGACGGTTGTTAACTTGTTAGACATTAGAGAGGAGGAATGGGAGGGACGGCACGGGGTACTTGAGGGACTAACGTAGACCCAAGACTCGGTGAATGCGGCGCGCGCAAGGTCAGGCGGGATCACCACGAGGTGTGGGAAACGAATCTTTGAGACGTCTGAAAAATTCACTCGTATCACGAGGTCAGGCGGGATCACCACGAGGTGTGGGAAACGAATCGGTGCCAAATCGAGACTGCAAGTTTTGTAGACATGGGGGTCTTCTCATGGCTTTAGTAAGGCTATGCTACACGACAATATCTGTCAGCCACCTGTGACACAGCTCATAGATTGACTTACTAGTGCTCAGTGCATGTAAATTTAGAGAGCGGACTCACGAGAGCACGTCGCATGTAGAAGGCCTGCTGCTTGACAACGTTGAGAGCATCCGCCAGCCATTTCTCCTGCTCCTCCGCTGCACTGAGCTTCACCTCCACCACCTGAGAGAGAGGGAGGGAGATGGAAGAGCATGAAACGGACATGAAACCGACTGCGGAAGGACTGTTACGGACGACAGCGGGATCATCGCTTGGTCAATTCCCTTGACCTTCCGCTGCACTCAGATTCACCACCACCATCTGAGAGGCACACGGAGACGGAATGACGTGTAACGGACATGGCAGACGAAGAAAACAGAAACGAAGTCGATCCGAAAGGTGAACAAAAGAGCATGAGCGATGATGCGAAATCATTTATCGATGGAAGGCGAATGGCGAGCGTAAACAGCAACGAATGAGAGCTGCAGTGAGAGCGCGAAATCAAGCCTTTCTCTCAAGAGCGCTGCTAAATTCAACCACAAAAACCAGGGCCCTCAGGGGGGCTCGATTTACTACAGAACCTTGCACGACAATTAGTCGAACGGCTATCAAGAAGTAAACAGAAGAAAAACTAAGCGACGGTTCGCTAGCCTAGCTAATCCCACTGATGTCCATTCGTACCTTGTTCACCATGAGCGCGAGTCGGAGCTACGAGGAAGCTCCGTCGAATGGTCAGCCCAAACTGACGGAAACGCTACCGGTTAGACGTACGGACTGCGAGGAACTCAGCCGGCTAATCGATGGTGCACGGCCAACCCGATAACGAATCGGCAAAGGAAAAGCGACTCGGAAAGAGGTGCGATAGAAGATAATCAAGTAATATGCCACTCCAGTTAGAGCCGCCTACAAATCGACGCGCGTGTTCTATGTTAGCGACTCGGTATCTGGATCATGCAGCCTAGAATGCTGGAAATCTGATGCAGCAAGTGAGAGACAGAAGAATGCTACTAACAGGTATTCACAGGCAGTCAGGACATGGGGGAACACTGGGAGTTACGGAGTTACCGAGGCTGAGCCAGTTCTGAGAGAGATTCTGATGTTGGCGGTGTTCGCCAGCACCTTTGAAAGCAAAAACGACGGGATAACGACGGGATCAGGAAGGTCAGTCTCGCCTTCCTGATCCCGTCAGTTAGGGTTCGTTAAGCTCCGTCAAGCTGGTCAGCCCGCTAAAATGCTGCCGAGCCTCTCATGCCGTCCGAACCAAATGGAATCTTTGGTGCCTGGCGAACACCCTCACTTTTCTCAAATTTTGGACGGCATCATGGCATTCGGAAATGGGGAAGTAATTTCCTCCCCGGGCAAACGAGAGTCCCACGCCATCCCATGGCAATCCACCATTTCACGGAGGATTGCAGTGGGATGACGACGTCATTGGCTGTTTGGGCCATTTGGGGAGGCAGGCTCCATGGTGCTGTTCGCCAGCAAATCGTTTCTTCAACAGGAAACGATGGCATCAGCATCGCGACCGCATATAGAAACGGGGGCAGAACCCTCCTCCGAGGTTTGGGCGAAATGCCGCCCGAGAAACTACGCGCGCCCGAAAGGCGAAATTTCTCAACCGCATCGGGAAGGTCCATCCCCACCTTCCCCCCAATGGCGCGAAATTTGCTCATCCCTGACCCTTGTGCTGCCCGCTGACCAAAAATTGCTCAACGTGGGTAAAAAAAGCAAATAAACACACCCCGCTCAAACACAACCCCCGCTACCACGTGCTCATGCCCAGACACAACTCAAGTTATGCGCGGGGGGCATTTCGAAGGTGTGTTTGGGAGGGAAAAATGGGGGGTATACGAACCCCCCTTTGTTAAACTGCAGGCTTGTTCAAGGGTTACCCTCTGAACAGCAATGCGTCGGCTGTGCCACCGCTGTGCTTTGAAAAACGCGGCATGACGATGGCATGGCTAGGGGATGGCATTTTGCCTGGGAACGAAGTTTCGTCCCCGCTTCCAGATGCCGTCGAACTGTTAGATTTGGTGGAGAAAAGTGGGCGTTCGCCAGACGCCCACTTTGTTTGTTGGTTTGGACGTTAGGTGAGGCTCGGCACCTTTTTCACGGGCTGACCAAGCTGACGGAGGTTAACGAACTCTAACTGACGGGATCAGGAAGGCGAGACCCACCTTCCTGATCCCGTCGTTATCCCGTGGTTTTTGGATATAATGGTGCTGGCGAACAGCACCCATATGCGGTCACGTTTCCCATTTTGGGGCGGGAAATTTCGCGAGTGGCATTTCGCCCAGCCCTCCTCGGAGGGCTCCGGCCCCGCTTCCCGATGCCATAGCCATTCTGATGCCATGATTTTTTTTCCAAATTTGCATGTGCTGGCGAACACCGCATTGTGATGTCAAGTCGGGTGCAGTCAAACTGGTACGAATCCGGAGATTAGGATATTGTCAAGCGAACTGGCGGGAAAAAATGTGACACTAGGTAGTATTATTTGACACCAAAATGGTACCAAGAATGTCAAAATGGCATATTGATTTGTAGACGTGTTCCTGCGCAAAACCAAACAATCTGCTACGCCCGAGTTCCAGCATTAGAGGGAAACTTTCAACAATAAAACACACGAAGCTTTAGACTAGACTATTCCAAAAGGAATATCTATGAAGGTAAACATCAGAAGATGCATTGTTACTTAGATGCTGCAGTGCTTCACTTTTACAGCAATCTGACTGGTACATCAGCATGAGAAACCAGCAACACCCAGGACTAGCTGGTAAAACTGTGCCGCGATAATACCTTTGTAGAAATCAGAATACTCAATCTACCCCTTTTCAGGTGGAAGTGTTCGCGGAATTGCTCCGTCCATTTCCTCTTCTTTCTCGGGTATTTTGTAGCCAAACTTGCGTAGGGAGGTTAAAACGCGTACAGCCTGTGATTTTGAACTGTGTCAGCCATTGGCGCCAAAACATCCTCTGCGCTGCGACTGAGGCTGGATCATGGCTGCTGCACGGGTGAGACGCCTTTCCTTCAATAAGCACTCCCGTTCGTTGTCTCCCGTCGTCTCCAGTTTGATGTGTAAATTCTCCGCGTAGCTTTTCATACAACGATGGTCGCGAATCGCCACTTCATTGCGGATGTTGTGAAACCCTAATTCTGGAAATTCCTACGAGCGATTTTTTTTTCCTATAACCGATCTCGAATTCCTTACTAGCGAAGGTTAACTCAATCCTCTCTCATCGCCTTGCACGATCATCACCCCCTTATAGCGTTCCCCGCCGCGTAATCTTATCTCATCTGCCCGTTACTCTTGAGCAATCTCGAAGTTCCATTCTATATCCCCTTTATTACCCTCCCCATCCACCATCCGCTCCCATTTTTCCGTATCCCCAGCGCGCCTTCGCCGGCCTGAGGCCAGAAAAGGTCTCTGGGTGGCGAATATTCGACGCTAAGGACCAGGTACGCTGGCAAAGACTGGGCACGCTAGTGATATGCGCGTAGGGCCTAGTCATCCCTCTACATTGATTGGTTGCCTGGCCGCCAGACTTGCAGTGGTGCTTCAGGAAAAGGGCAAGCCCATCGCCCCTTTGCTGCGTGTATGCGTCCATGCTCCACCCATCCCCGTTCACTCCCTGCCTTCGCACCTCCTGGGCGTCCCGCCTCTCCTCCTCCCTGCCTCCCTCCCTGCCATACAGGTGCTTGGTCGCCTGGCGTCACGGCAGTCAGTGGTGCTCCAAGGGAAGGACAAGCCCATCTACTCCCTATGCCGCTTTCGTGCATCCATCCTTCACCCAACTTCACTCACTCCCCACACCTCTTCCTCCCTCGGTCTCTGCCGCCCCCACTCCCTCCCGTGTAGGTGCTAGGTCGCCTGGCGTCACGGCTGTCAGTGGTGCTACAGGGGAAGGACAAGCCCATCTACTCGCCCAGCATCGACAAGGGCGACGTGTGCATCGTGGTGAACGCAGGTTGGTAACCCTAAAGTAGTCTAATTCTAGGGGCTAGTACCCCCTAAAGCAGACTTGTATCTACAGGGGAAGGACAAGCCCATCTACTCGCCCAGCATCGACAAGGGCAACGTGTGCATCGTGGTGAATGCGGGTTAGTAACCCCTGAGTAACCTATATCTAGAGTTTAGTACCCCCTTATGCAGATATCCACTTTTAGCTTCCATGTAGGGGCCTATCTATGCTGGAATCGGCATGGTTGATTCTCGCAAGTGAGCTTTGTTGTTTGAGGGCCCTTGGGATGAAATGCTTGGCACACTGATTCCTACTTTCGAGTTGGCTCACGAGTTATCTCTGGTTGTTGCATTTGTCCCTGTGCCTGTGTGGCTGTGATGGTTGTGATGGTTGTGATGGTTGTGATGGTTGTGATGGTTGTGATGGTTGTTGTGAAAATTGTGTTTGCATGAATCCATGTGTTTGCATGAATCCATGTGTTTGCATGAATCCATGTGTTTGCATGAATCCATGTGTTTGCATGAATCCATGTGTTTGAATGAGTCCATGTGTTTGCATGAATCCATGTGTTTGCATGAGTCCATGTGTTTGCATGAATCCATGTGTTTGCATGAATCCATGTGTTTGCATGAATCCATGTGTTTGAATGAGTCCATGTGTTTGCATGAATCCATGTGTTTGCATGAGTCCATGTGTTTGCATGAATCCATGTGTTTGCATGAATCCATGTGTTTGCATGAATCCATGTGTGTTTGCATGCTTGTTTCCATGTGTGTATGTGCACCTGATTTCGTGCAGATAAGATTGCAGTGACGGGTGACAAGATGAAGCAGAAGACATACAGATGGCACACAGGGTGAGCTGGGCGGCACACAGGGTGAGCTGGGCGGCACACAGGGTGAGCTGGGCGGCACACAGGGCGAGTTGGGCGGCACACAGGGTGAGTTGGGCGGCACACAGGGTGTGCTGGGCGGCACACAGGGTGAGTTGGGCGGCACACAGGGTGAGCTGGGCGGCACACAGGGTGAGCTGGGCGGCACACAGGGTGAGCTGGGCGGCACAAATAAGGTCTTGGCATTCTGATGGATGAATGCAAGTTCATCCGTGCAGGCTCAGACTCACAGCGTGCAACTATGTACTTCAGACTCACAGCGTGCAACTATGTACTTCAGACTCACGGCGTGCAACTATGTACTTCAGACTCACGGCGTGCAACTATGTACTTCAGACTCACGGCGTGCAACTATGTACTTCAGACTCACGGCGTGCAACTATGTACTTCAGACTCACGGCGTGCAACTATGTACTTCAGACTCACGGCGTGCAACTATGTACTTCAGACTCACGGCGTGCAACTATGTACTTCAGACTCACGGCGTGCAACTATGTACTTCAGACTCACGGCGTGCAACTATGTACTTCAGACTCACGGCGTGCAACTATGTACTTCAGACTCACGGCGTGCAACTATGTACTTCAGACTCACGGCGTGCAACTATGTACTTCAGACTCACGGCGTGCAACTATGTACTTCAGACTCACGGCGTGCAACTATGTACTTCAGACTCACGGCGTGCAACTATGTACTTCAGACTCACGGCGTGCAACTATGTACTTCAGACTCACGGCGTGCAACTATGTACTTCAGACTCACGGCGTGCAACTATGTACTTCAGACTCACGGCGTGCAACTATGTACTTCAGACTCACGGCGTGCAACTATGTACTTCAGACTCACGGCGTGCAACTATGTACTTCAGACTCACGGCGTGCAACTATGTACTTCAGACTCACGGCGTGCAACTATGTACTTCAGACTCACGGCGTGCAACTATGTACTTCAGACTCACGGCGTGCAACTATGTACTTCAGACTCACGGCATGCAACTATGTACTTCAGACTCACGGCGTGCAACTATGTACTTCAGACTCAGACCCAGATGGCCTCTCTATGTAAGTCGATTTTTGAGTCGACTCAAAAATAGGCTCAGACTCAGAGCGTGCAACTATGTACTTCAGACTCAGACCCAGATGGCCTCTCTATGTAAGTCGATTTTTGAGTCGACTCAAAAATAGGCTCAGACTCAGAGCGTGCAACTATGTACTTCAGACTCAGACCCAGATGGCCTCTCTATGTAAGTCGATTGTTGAGTCGACTCAAAAATAGGCTCAGACTCGGAGCGTGCAACTATGTACTTCAGACTCAGACAGACCCAGATGGCCTCTCTATGTACCTCGAAAGCACGACTCTGAGACATCACAAAACACATCGGACAGGTTTAGACTCAGAGCGGGCAACTCTCAACTCAAGTTCCACGTGTACGCAAGATGCATACGTGCTCACGTGTACCATTTCTTTGTACGTTATTTCCACTCATGCACCGACCAATGCATCTCGTGAGCACGTATGCATCGGCTTTTTTAGAATTCTCAAAAAATCCTTGCATGCCCCTGCATGCCCATGCCCCTGCATGCCCATGCCCCTGCACGCATGTATTCACACTCTCTCAGGTACATCGGTGGGCTGAGCTGAGGGAACGCACCCTCAAGGACCAGATGGCGATCATATGTCTGAAAGGCCCTTGCCTGTATCGCCTTTGCCTGAACCCCTTCTTGCCTGCATGCTTACTCTCAGGTACATCGGCGGGCTGAAGGAGCGAAATCTCAAGGACCAGATGGCGAAAGGCGCCTGGTGACACATGCATGCGCATTTCCATATGCCCCTATTTTCACATATGCGTGTCTCCAGTTACATCGGAGGGCTGAAGGAGCGCACTCTCAAGGACCAGATGGCGAAGGACCCAAAGGAGGTCATTCGCAAAGCAGTGCTGCGCATGCTGCCTCGCAACCGACTCGTTGATGTGAGTGGCTTGAATGACGGAAGGTGGCAGCTTGAGCAATGGCGGAAACTGATGCTGCTGTTAGATGTCTGCACTCACTCGCAAAGCAGTGCTGCACATGCTGCCCCCCCAACAGGCTCGTGGATGTGAGTCGCATGACTGATGTAAATTGAGAAGCTAATTTTTTTTGCCTCTCTGGTCTGACTCGTGAGGCAGATGCGACCCCGGGAGATGCGAGGCAGATGCGACCCCGGGAGAGACGGGCTGCTGCTGCTGCTGCTGCTTCCCGTACCGAAAAGCATATTGTGACATTCCCCCCTTCCCTCTCTCCGTCTCCCCCGCGTTCCTCCCACTTCCTCACATATCTCTTCCCCCTAGCCTCGCATGACGAAGCTGAGAATATTCGAGGGGGACAGTCACCCACTCGGGGACAGGCCAGTGAGGGAGGAGGCGATGCCGCTAAGAAATGTGAGGCAGATTCGACCCCGGGAGACACGCGCTGCTGATGAAGGCACTCAGTTAGTGCTGCTTTCCGCACCCAAAACCATACTTTAAACCCCCCTCCCCCACTTTTCTCCACATTCTCCCCTCTTCCACCCGTCCCGTATATCCAGCCACGAATGACGAAGCTGAGAATATTTGAGGGGGACAGTCACCCATTCGGAGACATGCCTGTAAGGGAGGAGGCAATGCCGCTAAGAAATGTGAGGGAGATGCGGCCCAGGGAGAGACGGGCCGCTGATAAAGCCGCTCGTGCTGCCACTGCCAAGGGCCTTGGTTCAACTGAGCAAGCAAGAGCAGCAGGGGAAGCGTAGGCTGTTGAGTCAGACTCGTGGGTATGCGTTTAGGGAATGTGAGGGAGATGCGGCCCAGGGAGAGACGCGCTGCTGATAAAGCTGGTCGCACTGCTGCTGCCAAGGGGCAAAGTTCGGCTGAGCAAGAAGCAGTGGGGGGGTACCCAAGTGTAGGCTTAGTGTTCTCTTCAATGAGACATGTTTTAACTTTTAGCTAGAGCTTTGTGTCACAACATGTTTCGCTTTAACACACTACAGTACCACTGAAAGAGAAAGCAGTGCCTTAGATTAGGTTGAGGGAGGCCACTTGCTGATAGAAATGGTTGCTTGCTAGCGAACACTCGTGGTCAGGGCCTATGATTCACTTTTAGGCACGTTAATGCATCAGGGTCCCTCTGTTTAGAATCCCTGATCGTCAGTGTCCCCAAAAAAAAAAGCCTGAAAATTCAGTGTTACCTTCAAAAAAAGTATGATGCATCAGTGTTCCCTTTTTGTTAAGGCTGATATTGAACTTAAAATAAGATAACACTAGGCAGGAACGCGATTAAACCCCAAGCGGATAAAAGGAAAGCATGGAGCAGAATGGGATGGGAGCCTGGATGGCAGGTAGCACGGCTGGGCGACGTGGATGCATCAGTGCTTGCCAGCACGACTTAGACAAAACGGGCCACAGGACCACAGGTGCAAGCAATGGGCCAGAAACCCTCGCATCGCAGCCTGTCAGCATCAATCTGTTGCAACCTTGTCATTGGTCAACCACATAATGCTGCAAAAGTGGCCAATGATCGGACCAAGCGCGCCAACAAAGCAGCCCTCAAAACGAATAACACGGGGCAAATTTGTCTGGTAGTCACTGCCAGGCGGTGCTGACACCGCGGGAATCTGAGATTCCCTGTACTTCCGGGCAACTACAGTCGGAACGTGTAGGAATCGCATTCAGTGTCACTTTCGTTACAACGTAGTGTAATCAGTGTCCCTTCAAAAAGATTCCTGAAAGTTCAGAGTCATCTGGCCCCTAAAGGCTGAAAAACCAGTCCCCCAAAAAGCTGAACACTGGAAAATCAGGGTAGGTAAAAAAAAATCCCAGAAAATCAGGAATTTCAGGGAAAAAATCCTGATATCGTAGGGCCTGCTCGTGGTCCTGTTGAATCTTTTGTTGTACACCTCTACTCCCTTGGAAGTGAACATTTGTGGTTTCATACCTGATAGCATATCACATACCGTATGTGAAGTACCGTAAGAAGCCAACTGCGTATACCCTACCTTAGCACAAGCTCTATATAGGGAAGTAAGGGATATGGTGTTGCATCCAGGGGTTCCTGGTGGGAGCCAGTGTTTCACAAGAATGGACCAATATGCACTCAAGCTGGCAAACAAAAGAATACCCTACGGTACCGTATGGCCCCGGATATAGGCGCCGTCCGATCAAGGGTGTCGGCGCTTCTATCTGGAGCATGGCGCTTATGGCCGGAACTCGATTATAAGTGCCCCCCCTCTATAGGGTGTACTTATTATAAGCGTACCCTTTTCATGTTGTGGAGAACTCATTACAAAAAAAACATCTCTAATTAACACTAAACATGAGCATGATAACTTTCCACCTACAACATCATCACTGACAGTTTTATCTAGCTACAGATTGCGAAGTACGGTATAGCATTTCTACCTAGAAAATCTACTCCTCCTCGTCGGATTCGGGCTCCTGACAGTTGTTGCCAAAGAAGCCATCGGCGATGATGGAGTCAGAAACGTGTCAGAATGTGTAGTTTGTCTAGCCTGCACTGGGGTACTCTATAGTGAGTACGGCCCATTAGGGTTTCCTATATGTATCCACCTGCTTGCTAGTGCAAACCCTCCTTTGCCTATTTTCTCTTGCCTAGCTAGCTAAACCCTAGCTATGGCTCCTCGTTCTGCCTGTTATTGTGATATGGTATTAAGAGCTCGTTCGATCCTAACCTGTGGCCCCACCCTAAGCTTCCGCTGCTTTCGTGTGCGCGCGACGCTTTTTTCTTCCCGCCACGCGCTCAGGGCGCGCGGCGGTTTTCTGCCCGCCGTGCGCCCCAAGGCGCGCGGCGGTTTACTGCCTCACGCGGCGCCCTGGGGGCCCGCGCGCTGCCCTGCCCGTCGCCCGTCGCGGCATCCTAGGGGTCCGCGCGTCACCCTGCCCGTCGCCCGTCGCGGAGCCCTGGGGGCCCGCGCGTCGCCCCCCCAAACCGTCGCCCGTCGCGGCGCCCTGGGGGCCAGCGCGTCGCCCCCCCCTCCCGTCGCCCGTCGCGGCGCCCTCGGGGGCCGTGCGTCGCCCCTCCCGTCGCCCGTCGCGGCGCCCTGGGGGGCCGCGCGTCACCCCTCCCGTCGCCTGTCGCGGCGCCCTGAAGGGGCCGCGCGTCGCCCCCTCCCGTCGCTCGTCGAGGCGCCCTGGGGGCCCGCGCGCCGCCCCGCTTCCGCTCACACGCCGCCCCAGCTGCTGCCCGCATTTCTGCCCTGCGTTGGGGGTATGGGGGTGGCGGGTATGGGAGTGGCAGGTGTGTGAACCGTCCCCTCCTCCTCCTCCTCCTCCGTCTCCCACTGCTGCAGCTGCCGCTGAGGGGGGTGGGTGTGTGAGAGCCGAAGGAGTGGTGCTAGGGGGGTGTCGTAGGAGTGAAGCTAGGGGTGCAGCAGGGGGTGTGAACGGGAGTTTTGGGACAAAGGGGGAGGTTGAAGGGGGGTGGCCGCCGTGAAGTCAGCAGCTCCAGTCGCCCGTGAGACCGTTGAGCAAGTCGCCCGTGAGCCCGTCGCTCCAGTTGCCCGTGAGCCCGTTGCTCCAGTCGCCCGAGAGTTAGTTGCTCCTGCCGCTCGTCTAGCTGCGGAGCCAGTGACTCCAGTTGCCCGTGTGCCAGCTACTCCAGTTGCCAGTGTGCCAGTTGCTCCAGTTGCCCGTGTGCCAGTTGCTCCAGTTGCGCCGTGTGCTAGCAACTTCAGCTGCCGCCCACTACCTCCTCTCCTCTCATAGTCCCTCCTCCTCCACACTTGCCCTCTGTGATAGCTTCTAGCTTTGCTTATATTTGTGAACTATAAACGGCTGCTTGTTGTGCTGATCATACCCCACTTTGACTATGGGGGTGTGTCAGAATGTGTAGTTTGTCTAGCCTGCAGTGGGGTACTCTATAGTGAGTACGGCCCCTTATGGTTTCCTATATGTATCCACCTGCTTGCTAGTGCACACCCTCCTTTGCCTATTTTCTCTTGCCTAGCTAGCTAAACCCTAGCTATGGCTCCTCCTTCTGCCTGCTATTGTGATAAAACGTCCACCTCCGCGGTCAGCTGGCTCCGCCTGTGCGCCATGGCGAGGTCGTCCTCACTGCCGTCAAGCGCGTTGCTGATGCCGCAGGTGAGGAAGGCGCGCTTGATGAGGTCCGCGGGCACTGCTTTCCAGGCCCGTGAGATCCACCTCACGACCACCTCTGGGGGTGGCTTCTTCAAGTTCCCTGTACCAACAGAATCACACAATATTTAGTTAGCGCGACAAAAGGGGGGACAATCATCTACGGAAAGATAGGGACTCGCGTGCCTATCGTACCTACTCTGGTTAGCTGTTCTTGGCCTTCTTCCTGAAACCACTTCTGATACTGCTGGCGGACGCTCGCCTTAAAACTCTTGTTGACGCAGACGTGGAGGGGCTGTATCTCCGCTGAGCAGCCAGACGGGATGATCGCCGGCACGCAGTTGAGCTCGCGAAACTTCTCCTTCACCCCCTCAGTGAGGTGACCGCGGTACGAGTCCAGTACGACCATCGAGCTCCGCGCATGCCTCCCGAACCCAGGCTTTAAAAAAGTCTTGACGCACTCCTCAAGCCATCATATGACGCCGTTGGCGTCCATCCAGTCGTTATCGTGACACGCCACGACCACATCTGCATAACAAACAAGCTTCTGTAAGTCTCTTTAAAAACAGGACCGGTGAAAAGCATACAAACAAGAATCATGACTTACCCGGCGGGAACACCCCTTTCGGCACGGTCTTCCGCTTGAAAAAAACCCACGACTTCAGCTTCATCCCGTCCGCCGTGCACTCCAACATCACGGTCACGCGCTCCTTCTGGTACCCCGCGCTCCTGATGGGCACCGACCGAACACCGGTTAGATCGACGGTAGTGGTGGCGGGCATCTCCAGCCTCAGCGGCATCTGGTCGGCGTTGATAATCCACGTCGTCTCGATGCCGCGCTCCCGACGCTTGTCACGGACGAATTTCCAGAACTTCTTGCATTGGTCCACGACATCTGCGGTTGAGCACAGTTACGGTTAGTGAGTAACAAGTGCATACACATGGCATAGAGAATAAAAATGATTCTTACGGGCGGCGGTTTTCTGGACGAGCTTCGTCTTCATTCGCACGCTGAGATTCCACCGCCGACGGAACCAGTCCGACCACCGTTGGCTCCCTTTCCACTTCACGAGGGGGTAGAGTAACTTCATGAACTCCCGGGACCACTCCTGCAGGCGGCCGACGGACACCGCGGTTCCCTTGCGTCGCCAGTCGAGCAGTCGCTCATACACCTTGATCTCCATCGGGCGGTACCACGACGCCCTGCCGCGACCGTGCATGCGCTTCCTGGCAGAGTGGACTTCCTTGAGGAAATCAGCGGCACGCTTCCAGTTGGCGAGGCACTTGCGGTGGATGCCACTCTCGCGAGCCAGAGCGCGCACCGACACCGCCACATCCAGCTGCGCGACCCACTTCAACTTCTCGGCGGCAGTATAGGCCTGACGCTTGTGGTCGTTGGGCTTGTGCCTGGGAGAGGGGGGGCGAGAATCACGGTTCTGTGAAGAAGGGTGAGGTCGCTTTCGATTACGTGGAGGATAAGTTGGTATCGGGAGTTTCTCGGGGAGGCCATCGCGTGACCAGTATTCGACGCCGTCGTCGTCGTCACCGCCCGGCACACCCTCGGGAAACACATCCTCAGCAGTGCCGGCCTCAGTAGCGGCCTCGGTGTCGGTCTCAGTGCCACCCTCGGCGCCGGTGTCGCCCTCAGCGCGCCAATCTT